CATGACTGGCCTTCTCTCACTCTGCCCCCTGCCTTGTCTGTCACTTTGGTGCTGTCTGCTCACTTCTGCCCTCCTTCAACCCAGGCCCCTGATGTCTGACGTCTATTTCTTTCTAATGTGATCATTAGTCCAACGCAGATTAAGTGTACCATAGTAATGCTTTTCCTTGCTGGGAAATCTTGTGTGATTATTTCCTCTTTGATCATCTTTTTTAATTTTTCAACTGTGTTGTGAGCTAATCTGTATGTCTTGCATTCCATTTAGGCTTACATAATTCATCTATTGTCATAGCTTTAGTATTTGCCTCATGTGTGACAATACACCCCAGTATTGTCATCTATTAACTTTGACATTGAACTGCTTCATTGACATAGAGAAAGCTTGTTTGTTTTTTCCAAGTTCTTATATAAATATTTATATTACTTTATAATTTATATTTTATAATATTTTACATCATAAAGCCTACTATACATTTTTAATTTTGATTTTTTGTTGTAAAATGGGCACAATCTGGTTTTGCACCCTGATTTCATATCTGATTACATTCATTCCTACAGTAGGGTAACTGACAGTTCAAGTCTTCTGTGTATACAGTGACAGCAGCATGAAATGCAGCTGGAGCTCTCTCCATATATCACTTCCATTTCCTGATTATAGCACTGGGTAGAAATCTCCATTCAATTTTGTATGTCTGTTTTTACCCGTATCGTCTCTGCAAACCCTGTTCACCTGGGACACAGTAACTGTGGTGTCAAACAGCAAGAAAGGGATCTTCCACGGAGAAAATGGATTCTCCCTATCGTGGTAGCCACTGATAGCTGGCCTGTAGGTCTTCATCTAGGGGTGAGGTATTGTGAAATTTCCCCCATCTACATTGGAGTGTAAATTCCAAGTCATTTGGAGTTGTCATTGTGCAGGTTTTGTTTAGGTGATCATACTAGGGATTTTATGGGTACAGCTTCCCTGGCCCATGGATAGATAGATAGATAGATAGATAGATAGATAGATAGATAGATAGATA